GGGTACTTTTTTTTTTTATAGACGTGTGGGGACTGTAAAGGTGCACCTGCCCATTATTATTTTATTTTTTTTCGATCCGAATTTTTTTTTTTTTTTTTGGAAAAAAAAAAGGCCTACTACGGCCGTGAGATTTTCAGATCGGGTGGCAACAAGCCACGTTGACTGGAGGAGGGCTCAGGAGACTCTGAGCCGTTGCGCGACAGAGAGAGTGAGACTCTCAGCCGTTGCGCGCTCGCGAGAGAGAGAGAGAGAGAGAGAGAAAGAGATAGAGAGAGAGAGAGAGAGAGAGAGAGAGAGAGAGACCCTGAGCTGTTGCGCGTGCGTGCGCGCGCGCGAGAGAGAGAGAGAGAGAGAGAGAGAGAGAGAGAGAGAGAGAGAGGTAAGTGTGCGCGTGCGCGCCGGGGAATGGAGGGAGGAGCCCTCCCCCACCAACCAATCAATCAATCAATAAATCAATCAATCAATCAATCAATCAATCAACAAATCAATCAATCAATCAATCAACCCCCAAATTTTTTTATTTTTATTTTTTTTTAAACACAAATATCCTTTTTTTTTTTTTTTTTTTTTATCTGAAGGTATTGGGTCCTAGATGGACCCCGTGCGACCCAAATCGCACCTCGACGCCGACCACCCGGGCTGCCACGTGGCCACCAGGGCCTTGAACGGTCCCCGTGAACGGCCGTTCACGGGAATCGGACCCAGTGAACGGCCGGTCACGTTCAGGTGGCCGGACCCGTTCACGTTCACGGGTCCGGCACTGGCCCCAAATATGGCTATAATGACCGGGCGTTATATTAATGACCGGGTGTTATATTCAGGTGAAGACGGTAGGTCACCTTTTACCATTGGGTTCTTTCAATTCACATGCAGGCATGAGTTCATGACATGATGTGTGTGTGTCTGAGAGCTCATGGGACACGGGACACTTTTCGACTATGGGATCCGAAATTACTCTCCCACCTTGTCGGCTAAATGGTCACAGGTCAGATTCACGTACGTGATGACCGTACAAAATCTAAAATTGTTTTCTTTTCTCCCACCTTGCCGGGAAAATGGCCAGATTCATGTGCGTCATGATCGTTTAGATGTGATGTGAAGGGACAGCACAGTCTGAATGTCTTCTCTGCAAGAGGGATTTGCTACCTACATCTTATCGTGCCAAACACTGTCAAATTTTCAGTTATCATCCTTACTCAGCCGCCCACTTTTCCAACTGAATTTGACCATGATATTATTGTCGGTGCATGCTCGACAATCCTAGTACGGGTATGCATTAACCACCAGTCCCTGAGAGCCTCTTTTTTCCGACCCCTATTACTGTTGTACGCTAAAAATAAGTGAACCAAGGTAGGCACAAAATCTTTTCTTTTTGCCTGGCGCTGCCAGCTATCTTGGCCTGGTTTGGGCTATTTTGGTCTGATAATGCAACGGGTTAACTGCCATGTCGGGACAAAAATGGTTGGGAAAGGGATTCGTGGTTTGCAGCGGGTTAACCGCCATGTCGGAACAAAAAGGACGGGGAAAGGGATTCTTGGTATAAGGTGTCATACGCCCTAAACATTTTGTGGACGGCATTCAAAAATTGAGAGCGACCATAGCACTAGGGCTTTCCAGGATGTATCTAGCAAAATTAGTGAAAATTCTTTCAGAATCGGGTGGGGTTTCTATCTATCTTGTTCTTGTTTTATAGTACGTGTGATAAATCGAGAAGCGGGCACACTGTCCCTATTTACCATCCTGCGAAACCACAGCCAAGGGAACAGGCTTGGAAGAATCGGCGGGGAACGAAGACCCTGTTGAGCTTGACTCTAGTTTGACTTTGTGAAATGACTTGAGAGATGTAGAATGAGTGGGACCTTTAAAAAATACAGACGTATTTAGCCTGAAACATTCACTCTCCATGCCTCTCGAGCCCACATATTTTTCCTTCTTTTAGGTTCCAGAAATTCGTTTGACTGCGTCTTGAGACAGTGGACCCGGTTTCCAGCAGGTGATGCTCCCCACCAATAGATGGAGTGGCCCACCAGACAAAGCCTCAATCCCGGTGGTTCTCTTACCACCACTGGGATAGAGGCTTTGCGCAAGGGCCTTCAAAAAAAAAAATCCCRGKGGTTCTCTTACCACCACTGGGATAGAGGCTTTGCGCAAGGGCCTTCAAAAAAAAAAAAAAAAAAAAAAAAAGACAGTGGTTGAGTTCACTCACATCAACCTTGCAATCCCTGTAGAAGAACGATGGGCCTCACCGCACTGCTTACAAACCATGAAGCTTGCCTCTTATACACATCTAGATGTGTATAAGAGACAGCACATCAACCCTGCAATCCCTGTAGAAGAACGATGGGCCTCACCGCACTGCTTACAAACCATGAAGCTTGCGACAAACACAAGGTTCACCCACACATGCAGAAATGATGAACAGGAGCAAACACACAAAGATACGGCACAGAGGAAAGACAGGAATAGCAACAGACTATTCTGTGAGAGTCTCGCCAACTCATCAGGAGGCTGAGCCCTCGAAAATCTGCAAAATCCCCTGACGCCGCAGACGGTGCTTTGAGTCAAAAATTCAAAATATGCTGCAAAGTTGCGCAAACCTTGTTGTGAGTGGGCAAACACAGCAAGGCATGCCGGATGGCCAGGACTCTGAGGACTAATGCAGCTCGCAGCAAGGCAAGAAGGTGGGAATGCATCCAGGGGAGCAAGCACACAGCACCACAGCAAAGCACACGAGTAACTTAGAAGAAGGCAAGCAGGCGGCCAGGCGAGTAAGCATACAGCAGCAGGTGGACGAACGCGCAGGCAAGCACAAAGAAAACAGCAAGGAACGTGGGAAGGTAAACAGGACAGCAACATCCACACAGAAACCTATGAATGCAACAAGCACCAGAGCGTGCTATCAGTTACTCACACGATATGGAAAACTCCGCACGCTGTAGGTTCATGCCACCATCAAGAGCCAAGGGGGCACGAGACGAATGTCTGCCACTACCAAGAGACACAGAGACACAGGCATCCCAAACACAGCAGCCCATCACAGGCACTCCAAACAAACGGCTATGTGGCACACATCTAAAAGCGTTGCACCTGGACACTAACAGAGCAAGGGAAAACACAGAGGGAACAGAAACAAACAAACTGACTACTAGGCACAAAGGTGTTGCAGTTGGTCACTGTAAAAGAAATGGGGACATACAAACAAACAGACTGCACTTGGTCACTGTACAGAGCACGGGGACATACAAACGAACAGACTGCACTTGGTCGCCGTACAGACCACAAACACAAACAAATAAACAGACTATGTAAACATGTGCGTGTGTGTGTTGTCATATTCGCTATATACAACTTCACAAAGAAAAGCATGACTGTGCGGGGCTGTTTCATCAAACTTTCACCGACTTATCTAGATGTCTTGTGCATGGGGTGGTATTCCTTGTTCAGTGTTCATGTACATGGTCGTGCTATAGCGCACTGAGAAGGGGCATGAGCTCAATGCAATTTCTTCAATGTGTTAAGGGGATTGCAGAGCAGAAGGTGTTTTCTCCCCCCCTCCCCCTCCTCCACCATACTCCTCCGCCGCCAAATGTCTGGGTCGTTCGTCATTGTTACGTCCAGTCTTTGGACTGTGTGGCACAGTTGTGTATGTGTCGGTTTCCCAGTGGGTTAGTTATTGGGAGTGTGCATGTGTGTGGGAGGCGCAAAGATGTGTGTTCTTTTCTAACCACAATCATCCTATTTGTCGCCTCCAATATGTGAGCTTGGAGTAGTGACATACATCTGCATGAACATAATGGTAACTTTGGAAGCTCGTTTATGTTCTGATTCTTTGGTTGGGTGCATATTTAGGGTTCATTGTTGGGTAACTTTGGACATACATCTGCATGGACATATGGTAACTTTGGACATTTCATTTATGTTTTGATTACATCATGAATGTTGTGCAAGGAAGATGAGCAATAGCGAACTTCAAAAATCAACAACATCATACACATGTGACCAGATATACGTGACCTCGAACCAAAAGCAGAGTTGCATCACGAGTCCCACCAAATAAGAATATAGCAGGAGCTCAATATTGATAATGCTGGCATTGTCTCGTCATCATCAACTTAGAACCAATGTCGATATCCTATATGGCGCTCAGTTCCCAGACTACAGATGGAAGATCCTATCTAGCCTACACTAAAATGCCGAATGATGACGACAACAGCTCTCCCAAAGTACGAGCGGATAGCGGTCAATGTCGCACGCTTCCAGCACCAGATATGTCTCTCGCTTCACCCACAACGTCGTTCCTCACCCAAGGACCACCCTGCGCCTCACCTAGCGTCTAGCAGTGCACCCCGGCTATGGCTGCCTGCTCCAGGCCCGCTCGCCCGTGAGCGCGTGAGTGTCAGCCAGCCAGCAGCGCAGCAGCGCTTGCGCATGTGCAAGCAGCACCCGCATACCAAATGCGGAGGAAGGCCTTTGGTATATGGAAGTGGCTTGCGTGCTTGCCAACCCAGGCTGCGCTGGGCCTTTCCCAAGAAGCTTCCGGTAGGCCTCGGTAGGCTGAGGCCCAGACCACACAACGCAGGCCCTGGGCCTGTAGTAGTTGCACGCGCCCCACTGTCGACGGCCTGTGTTAGCCCACACTTCGCATCCAGCTCAGGGTCTGC